CCTCAATTAGGTAAAAAGTTAGAGGGGGTGGAAGGGACTTTTGGATCACCCTGTATACCGTGTTGAATCATTCTAATCTATAGATAACTTGCATATGTGGTTGTCTCATTGAGACGAGTAAAAGTGAGTAGGCGTGCCCTGAATAGACAGCGACTCGGAGGTTAGGAAGCTCTTAAGCACTTTTCAGTCCAGTTTCAGTGTCTTGTGCGCCGGAGAATGGTATCGAAAAAACCGCGCGTTTTTTATTCGCTTGGTGTGAGTTTCGTTATTTTTCTGGTGGTTCTCTTCTCGCTCCACAAAATCCCTGCCCCGAGGGAGCAGAATGGTGCCCTGTATGATATTCAACGATTGCACGGTAAATGTCCATGTGCTTCAAAACTTTATGTATCATGAATGATTTTAAAAATATTTAGTAACCTCGCCCCACAAAATCCCCGTCCCAAGGGAGCAGAATGGTGCCCTGTATGATATTCAACCATTGCACCGTAAACTCCCACGTGCTTCAAAACTTAATGAATTTTAATTCAATAATCTTAAAAATCTTTAATGATCCCACTCCACAAAATCCCCGTCCCAAGGGAGCGGAGTGCTGTCCTGTATGATATTCAACGATTGCACGGTAAACGTCCGTCCATGTGCTTCAAAATTCGATGTATTATAATTTTATACCGAACGATGTCAGTTTTAAGAGTGGACTCTCAGAGGTCTACAGACCATCGTGTTTATTTTTATGTCCTTTGAGTTCTAAAATAATTACGAGAGCTTTTGGCAAGAATTTTATTCTGAATTAAAAAATTGGAGCTGAGAGTCCATCGTGTTTTCTATGCCAACTTTTTTTAGCACAGTTTATTAATGTATTTCCTACATTGATTAGATTAGCGATCAGAATGGACTATGGTCTAACTCTATCAAAGGTTATATCAATTATCGTTGAAGATCTATTTTTAAGTTTCTTTAAACTTTTCACTCGGTAGAATGATACAAAGTTAGAGGTCGAGTGGTAATAAGGTACTTATTCAGGTAAGGTGTTTATTTAAGTGCTTCGTAAAATTTTATCTCTTCATTATGACAGGCGCAAAGAAACTGATTCATAAGACGTCAATTTAGGAATCTACTCTAGAGAGAGATATTTTTCTTTGGGCCGATTATTGAAATGCTTATCTTGGTCCTCTCATCCGACCCCCCCCCCCCCCAATCCCCAAGAAAAGTTGCAAAACCACTGAAAAACTTCAGTTTTTACCTATTTTTATTATTGAAAAATAATTCTTCATTAGGAACATTGTGACCAGAATTAAGTCCCTAATCTGTGCCTTTTTTGTCCTAGATAATCGCAGCAACGTAAATCAATCATCTAAATTTTCGCTTTTTGAAGACATCAAAATCAAGACCCCGTCTCAGGTATCATAATTTATGTTACTTATATTCGAAGTATACTTTTTGGTTTTTTTGTATTTTTTAACCTAGTACCTAGTACAATAAAAAAATCGAAGTGCTATCTTAAAAGTGTTCTTTCATTACAATAAAAGAACCTATTAGCCAAGTTGACAGACTTTTTGGAATATGGTTTTTTCATGGTTTGGAGAATTACTCCTGGCCTGAATGAGCTTGGAATCATGAACGACTCAATCAGCCTGGACTACATAAGCTATTTTTTAAACTTAGTAACTGCAAGTTTAACATATTTTTGAGGCTAAATTTCGAAAACCGCAAGACGGTGCTACTGATTTTCTAAAATTAAATAGCACGCACACGTTTAATTTGTTTAAAACAAGTTCAAATCAAATGACGAAAGCAGGCCCGCCATAAGGGGGGGGGATAATGGGTCCCTGGTACCGGGGCCCGGGCCCCGGAGGGGGCCCGTGTTACCCGTTAAAAACCACTAAGAATTCACATGCAACCCTTGTTCCGTAAGAAAAAGTGAAAAATTTACCCTAAAAATTTCGCAAAAGGTGAATAAATTTTCAGAAACACGCTGGGGCACTGTAGAATTATTCTTAAATTTTCAAAGAAGAATACTTCTTGGGAAACTTCTGTCTATTTTCAAGATTTTCAGTAACACAGAGGGATATTTTTAGTAACTGCGTTTCATTTCCTTCCTTCCTCAGATGCTAAGAGTCTCCAGTCTGGGCATCCTCGACTTCAATGGCTCATGGCTCAACTCCCTTGTCATAGACAAAAAAAGGGGGAGTCCAGGGGGGCCTGGCCCTCTTAGAACTGAAAATCGTATCATATGCCCCCCCAAAAAAAAAATAAAATAAAAATTTTCCAGATGTTTTGAATGAAACAATTCGCAAGTATTTTGTGCTGAAAGTAGAAAAAAAAAAAAAAAAAAAAAAAAAAAAAAAAAAAAAAAAAAAAAACATAATTATTCCGCATAAATTTATGGAAAAATTATTTATGGAAGCTTCACAATGCGTCCGACTAGTTGTACAAATTCTAAAATTTCTCGGGGGATGCCCCTCGGACCACCCCCTCTCCTCCGTGCTTGGGGCCCGGACCTTGAAACTGGTACCTGGGCCCGAGATGGGATGTGGCGGTAGGGGTGTTCAAACGAATTCTTGCCGGAACACTATCGACATCGTCTCTTATTGAAACTGGCGGCAGTACCGACAGTGGCCATGATATCGACAACAGCCGGCCTTATCGGAGTTTTGAGAGCTCGCACTCAATACATTGTTGCCCCGTGTGTCGGTTTATCAGATTGCCTGGCGCGGCGGCGCGTAAAATAGATGTACAATTGGCAACAGCTTATTTTCGCCAGCTCCGAAAACTCTGATCGCTATCGGTAAGAGCGCTCTTATCGTAACTTTTTCTTAACGGAACTGTTTCGGTGGCTTACCGACAACCGATTGAACAGCCCTATGTGGCGGGCCTGCATGAAGGCTTTTTCCATTTAAATCTTCCGTCACATTCATATGGCACAATGATACAACTATTTGAACTCTTCGGAATGCGTGAGGTATCACGCCGCATTTGAAGGCGTTTTCAAAACAGCTTAGTTCCGATACTCGGATTATCGTTTTGCATAGTTCATATTCTTTTGTTATATTCCGTACCACTCGTTTATTTTTAATCCTCGTAGAAAAACCACCCATTTGCGAAATACAATTCTAGCTGGAGCGCCCTTCAGCTGTGTATTCACCCATGCAAAAATGTTAAAGGAAATAGACACGCCCAGCGTGCATGGAGGCTATTTCTATTTAAATCTTCCGTCACATTCTTACGGCGCAATGATACAACTATTTGAACTCTCCGGAATGCGTGAGGTATCACGCCGCATTTGAAGGCGTTTTCAAAACAGCCAAGTTCCGTTATCGGAATAATCGTTTTGCATAGTTCATATTCTTTTGTTATATTCCGTGCCTCTTGTTTATTTTTAATCCTCGTAGAAAAACCACCCATTTGTAAATACAATTCTAGCTGAAGCGCACTTCAGCTATGCATTCACCACTGCGAAAATTTCAGAGGAAATCGACACGCCCAGCGTGCATGGAGGCTATCTCCATTTAAATTGCATGTAAACTCCATGCAATAATTCGCAAGTATTTTGTGCTGAAAGTAGAAATAAAAAAACATAATTATTCCGCAGAAATTGATGGAAAAATTCTTTACGGAAACTTCAAAATGCGTCCGATTAGTCGTATAAATTCTAAAATTTCTTGGGGGATGCCCCTTGGACTCCCCCCCCCCTACGTGCTTGGGGCCCGGACCTTAAAACTGGTACCTGGGCCCAAGATGGGATGTGGCGGGCCTGGACGAAAGTAGAATCAGGGTTCATACAGTTAAACTTAAATCCATAAATCCAAACTTCACGCTATGTAGAAAAGAAAGACAAAAAAATATTAACGCAGCTTAAATCGGTCATTGGAACCAATTATATCATTGGACAGTAAAAAGGTTACGTTGAATTGAGGGTATAACTGTAAATCGCAAATCGGCATGCTGAGAAACGTATACAGAACATTGCACAGAACATTGAGATAAGTTAGATGATTAATCTGATGTAGGCTTATGTTGTTTGGCAAACGGAATTTTTGATTTCGCGAACACACGAAACGCTGATTTCTTACATAGGGACTGCATTTTTTTACGCTTTCATGCCGTATTTCACGAGAAATTTTGATAATAGGATATGTATCAGTGATTCCTTATCCTTATTTTTGTCCCCAGATTGAAAAACCTCAAGGACAACCAAATTCAGCAGACATCGGACAGACAAGAAACCTCTACGAATTCGGTTTCGACATTCCGAACATCGCACTGTGCCCTGACTTGGGCACATCCTTGAAAATTTTAATTTTAATCCTATCAGCGCCGAGTCACATGGACAAGCGAATGGCGATCAGGCAGACCTGGGCCGGCTTTGCCCGACGAAAGGACATCCAATTGAGTTTCTTCCTGGGCCGAACCACATCGGACCTAGTCTCAAAAATCGAGGAAGAATCATCTGTCTTCGGCGACATTATTGCAGGAAGATTCATCGACACCTATCGAAACCTCACTCTCAAAACCACCTCGATTATGGAATGGATCGACCACTACTGCCCCAAAGTGAAGTACATCTTGAAAACCGACGATGACATGTTTATTAACGTGCCGAAGTTGCTGGGTTTTGTCGCGTCTCATCAAGATTCCAAACGGACGTTTTTCGGGAAGCTGGCGAAGAGTTGGGGTGCTCTTAGGGATTTTAAGAGCAAGTACTACGTCTCGCCAGAACAGTTTGCCCCTTCGCATTACCCTGATTTCGTGACGGGGCCAGCATATCTTTTCACGAGTGATATCGTGCGCGAATCCTACGTTGAGGCTTTGCGAGCGAAGTTCATGCCGTTGGAGGATGTTTTCATGACGGGGCTGGTCGCTCAGGTCATCAAAGTGACGCATGTGCACTGTCCGGAGTTTTATAATTGGGATAAAAAAGTGGGCGCGTGTGAGATGAAACATTACATCAGTGTTGGGGCGTCTGGGACGCAGGGTATGTTTGATCTGTACAAGAAGTTACTCGATAGCCCGTTTACATGTGGCTGACGTATTCCGAAAAGAATAGATTTTGGGTCATGATCTTACAGGATGGTATTTGTGATTGCTCACTGGAAGAGGCCTCCCTCCGCGTAGGTCACTGTTCCAAGGGGTCAATTTCTGTCGAAAAAACGAATTTTGAGGTTTCGGCGAGAAACTCGCAGAGAGGCCCACCAAAAACTTATTTTTTTTAAAAGAGAACTGTTAAGACACTTGCAATTCAGACACTTATATTTCGTACGACAGCAAACTCTTTTCATTACACGACATTGCGGAGTAACAATGCAAGAATACAAAGATGAGCTTTTATACTGGAAAAGTTCTAGGAGCTTTCTATCACAATCAGTTGATTGATCTCAGTGATATAAAGTGATAATGCTCTTAACTCAACAATAACTATGTTGGAATTCAATCTATTGGGTCAAAAAATATCAAGAAGACTTTTGATCGTTCGTGGGGAAAGGAACATTATTCCACCGGAGTCAAACTTCAAAAGAGCGATACTTGTCAAGTTGAGTCGAAAAATATTTTAAAAATTCGACGGTAAACTATTTATTGTGTCCTACGGAGTAAGTTGCAGCAGTTCCGTTCTTTTCTATGCCGAAAGAGGAGGTTAAGTTGCATTGTAGTTGGACATTTTCACAATTCGTACCCAAATCTAGCAGATAAGCAATTTTTCAAAAAGGTAGATTTTGGAAACGAGAGTCATTTTCGGCTTCGGCGGCAGAAACTGAGTGAGAATAACTCCAAGAGAAACCAAGAAACTCCAAGAAATAAACCTGAGAAAAAAAAATTCACCTTCTTTTCCGACGCAAAACAATCGGATGACCTTTTACAAACTTGTTTTCGGAAAAACCGCGATATTGAGAACAGAGAGGAGACCTTCTTAGGCACCCAATACACAGTTCTCCGTGTAATTTTGGCAGCTGAATCCGAAAGCGGCTTTAGTTTTTCTCAATCGAGTACAGATTTCTGGAAAATAACTTCTCTCTGGAAAAGCTCGATTTTGAAGGAAAATTCCGATTTTTCTTGAGGACGAAAGAAGTAAATTATTTGAACTTCTGTTTCAAATAAACTATAAAATAATTTCGTCCAATGTTTATGATGAAACCCTCTGAAACGAATGTGATTATTGGAAACAAAATAGTCTTTCAAGAACTTTCAAGTGGTTATTCATACATCTATCTTAGAATATACGGTTTTTATAATACAATTATGCAAAATTTCTCGAGACACAAGTTCCTTCCAAAGAAAGTATTATGACTTGTATTATTCTAATTTAATAGTTATGAGTACAAACATAAGCAAATTGTGATATTTTATACCTCATTAATTTAATTTTTGGTTATTTGTGTATTACATCAATCCTAGTTGAGGAATTTTTTTTAGTCAGCACAGCTTTGCAAAATCCTTAAATTTTGCTTTATTATTATTGCCTTGAACTTAAAAAATAATTGTGGCTGTGAACCTCTGGAGCTATGAATGGATTAATAGATAAATTCATTTAAGAATGTAAATATTTAAGGAAGTGTGTGTTGTGTTCAGGAAAAGCTTCGATTGAACAATTGGACGTTGCCAAATTTTCCTGGAAAACGAATTGATTACTTAGGAAAGTCAAACATATTTCCTCGAAAATTTCAGATACTACTGCTAATTTTTGTAAAAAAACAAATTGGAAGAAAATTATTAATGAGTTCCCCAGAAAATTCGTGCGAACTTTATCAACAAGAATTTCATAACTTCATAATGTTCATAATAGGTTTTTCTTCAGTACGACTACAGACTGATTGTTAATATTTATAGACAAAGCGAAAGACAAAGAGGGCGAAAGAAAAATGGGACGATCCTGCTGGCAGTAATGTGTGGTTGCAATGGACAAAGTACTATGGACAGAACTAAATGTCGGCATCTATGACATAGAATTAACTATAGACGACCCATGAGAGACCTTGTAGTTAGTCGATTATTTTCTGTCTTTAATTCATAACACCCACCCGTTTCAACCGATAGAATCGTTTCATTTTCCCATTATCGACTTTATTTATCGATTTTTCTGTCAGTTCTAATAAGCAACCCTTAGAATACTTCAACAATTTTGGGACGGAAGGAAGAGTACATTGGCCAGGGGATAACTTCTCTGAAGTGTGTGTGTGTGTGTGTGTTTTTTTTTGTGTGTATGTGTGTCACACTAGGTGGTTTTAAAATTTCCTGATAATTGTTACGTTCTTTGAATGACATAGCACGTATGTGTAAAGTAGTTTCATAAACAATTTAGAAATTTGATCTCGTAATCACGCTGACTCCTTTTTGCTTAAAGCGATCCACATCTTTTCATTGGTATGTTGAAATACGACCCAATTTCTATACTATCATGTAGTAAGATTACGAATTTTTCCATTTAAACGGAACAAATTCACAATTTTTGTCACGGTTTGTTCTGGGGATATGCAGAGTCAATTTTCATGATTTTTCTGGAAATTAGCAGGAATTACTTAATGCCTAGAGAGCCTGCTCTCTACTTCGTTTCGACATTGGTGGATCTAGCAAATCGGCAACATTGTTTTCTCTATTCAAACGAATGGGAATGTATCGATTCTTGGAGGGGTCAGGTGCTCCGACAAGAATCGATTATTTAACATAAGTTTAAATGAAGGAAATTCGGTGTTGCCAAATTGCTGGACCCGCCTCTGGAACTCGGGTGTCACATACTGACCAGCCCTGGTAAAAATTGGCGATAGGAGCTGCGTTTCAAAGTACCATAGGAGCTCTTATAGCCGACTATAGAAGGTTATAGCAAATCATATAGCTGGCTGTAGAAAGCTGCATGAGCAGATTATTCAGCCGGGCTACACGAAGCGATAAAACAGTATACAGCCGGGCTTTACACTTTATCGCCATCTGCTATGAAAGGCTATAAGAAATTGTGTAGAAATTCGTGTGCTTTGAAAATCATTAATATTTGATACGGTGCCACCTTAATATTAACAAAACTTACATTATATTTTCCTTAAATGCATGTTTTCCCCTATCAATTTAAATGAGAATAATCCATGCGGAGTGTGCAAACATTCAAAAATCATGAGTTGAAAAACGCTGACTCCGCGAGATTAAATATTAGAGCCTAGTGCAAAGCGGGGCGGCGACGCACTGACGCCTACAAACCTAACAGGAATACTTCACGCATTGCGCAATGCGTGAAGTATCCCTGTTAGGTTTGTAGGCGCCAATGCGCGTTTCGCGCTGGCTGTCCACCCGCCGCGCCCAGCGTGCCACGGCGCTTGAAGCAACTATTTCGCGACAGAGGTATTGCACAGTATCATACGAAATTGAAGGTGCTCCAACATTTTAGGAACGGCAGGCATCCTTCAAAAGTACGGAGCTTTCCTCGCAAAATAAATCAAAGCACTACGGCCCAAAAAGAGAGCGGTAGTCCAAAAACTCACTAAGTCTAGCATCCGTAGTTAGTAACGTTTAGCATACACTTTATCGCCTGGCTGTTGCTTAATCGCCATCGGCTATAAAAGGCTATAAGAAATTGTGTAGCCAGCTATAGAAGCTATTGGAAATCTTACAGCCGGCTGAAGGTCTATGGTATTTTGGAACACAGATTCTACTGCCAATTTTTACCAGGAAGGGGCCGTACACTATGATAAATTATATAGGATCTGTTGAAATGAGAAGCTAGGTGGGAAAATGGCGTGACCACGGTGAACATATTTCTAAGAGAACTACAGTTTAGGTAGACAATAACGGAATATTTCTTTTTAACTCCATGAATAAATGGTGCCATAGGGGCCAGACGGAATACAAATCCCTGTAACATTTACAGAGACTCTTTATTAATATTGTCCTTATCTGATTTCTGTTTGATGTGACTGGATTCCCCGTTGCCCTACATGGACATTGGCGGATCCAGCAAATTGGCAACATTGTTTTTCTCCATTTACACCTATGGAAATGTATCGACTCTTGGAGGGGCCAGGTGCTCTGACAAGAATCGATTATTTAACATAGGTTTAAACGGAGGGAATCCGGTGTTGCGAAATTGCTAGATCCGCCGCCTCTGTACATGGATTTTAGTTGACGTGACGAGGGTCCTAGAAGGACAGCAATAATTCCAGTTTTTTGGAAACATATACTGTAAAAACGACAACGAGTGTGCATGTGCAGACATGTGCAACTTTGTGCCATATGTCAAACTTACAGCACGAATGTGTAACTTTGTGCACATATGTGTCGGATTGTGCACATAATATGTGTCGCCTTGTGCAGAAATGAGTCACTTTGTGCACAAATATGCACCTACCTACCTAACAAGTACAAATATGCAACTTTGCGCCCAATTCCAACTTTGTGCACAGATGTGCAACTTTGTGCACGGATGTGCATTAACTTAGTGCGCGGTTGTGCAACTTTGTGGACAGATGAGGAAAATATTGACAGGACGTTCCGACCCGCTACTTTTCCTCTTCGCCCTCGATGAAATTCCACCAAAAGTGAAATTACAGCTGACGCAAGAATTATTGTATAAGATGACTCACTATCAGGTATGTCAATGAGAGAAATATTTATCTTTCGAGTGCAGGTGCTTATGTTCAGGCAATTTAAAACGTTTAAGAGGTACCTCTTGAATTCGAAATATGATTTTCATTCCTCGCCCGTCTGTGTAAAATGCGGCGATTAATTGCGTTAATTAATATGTAATTCACATTTTAATTCATTTTTCAGTTACATTTATTTCGTTTGTCGATCACGGAATTTTCAAGACTCAGGTCTGGAGGTATGAGGTAGCCACCGAGCGTAGCGAGGGGTATCTGTTCCTCCATTAGAACCTTAACTTTGAGAGCATTTTTGAACTTTAGAGTTTGTTTCATAGAAAACCAGAGGTATCATAGTGTTTTTTTGCGAAATTCTAGGAAAAAGTACTTCAATCGCAAATCCCTGACTGATTTGAAATTATTGGCAACACTGTTTTCCTGGAGTGGTTGCATGTGTGAGGGATTTGCAATTTAAGGCGATTCGATGGACGCCATATTTTGTGTCAGAACGACGTGCGATACATCAATCGCTTGGCTGTATTTCTTCAGCTACTAATCATTTTTCTCGAATTTTGAGATCGCAATTCTGTTGTCAGGAGACTATAGCACTCTTTCACCAATTTTAACAAAGAAATTCGACGTAATAAAGGCGTGGTTTTTTCAGAGAGAAAACATAGCATTCGATACTGATATCGAAACTGCACTCGAATGCTAGATTTTCTCTCTAAAAAAAAACACGCCTTTATTGAGTTGAATTTCTTTGTTAAAATTGGTGAAAGAGTGCTTTAGTCTCCTAACAAAAGAAAAGCGATCTCAAAATTCGAGAAAAATGACGAATGGCTGAAAAAATGGAACCGATTGATGCGATACATCGCATGCCGTTCTGACACAAAATATGGCGTCCATCGAATCACATTAAGTACTGTGATTCCTATGCAGAATTTTCTGAGAGAAACGATGGTGCCACCAGTTTTTTCTCTGAAATCAACTCCCTTAAAGTTGAGGCCGTAATAGAGGGGATATCCCACGCTATGTTGGAAGTCTACCCTATATTAGGCCGCACTCTCTATGCAAAGGTAGGAGGAAAATACACTAGCAGGGGTGCCACTCTGTTTGGGGACTTTAAAACTGAAAACACGGCAACCCTGCTAATGTGATTGCTCCCTATTTTTGGATAGAGAGTGCGACTTTACATAGAACTAGACTTCCAACAAAGCGTGGGATATCCCCTCCATTACAGCCTCAACTTTGAGAGCTTTTTTTGAGCTTGGAAGTTGATTTCAGGGAAAACCAGTGGCACCACCGCTTTTTTCAGCGAAATTCTACAAAGTAATCAGTACTTACATCGCAAATTCCTCACACAAGCAACAGTTCCATTGAATCTACTGTCGTGCTGAGGGAAAACGTCGTACGAACATTCGAGAGTTGCCGAATTTCTTTCACTAAAATATTCATTTTCAAGGAAATTTATGAATACTTTTCTCTAAAATTCTCAGGAGTTTTGGATAAAATTGCGAAAAAAATTATCTGAGAAATTGGAAGAGAAATATCCATAAGTTTACCGCGAAAGTCGAGTTTTATCCAAGGAAATTTGGCAACGCCTGAAGCTTCATACGGCGTTTCCCTTGTTTTAGTATGTGAGTCTAGGTGAGGCAGCTGAAATGGAGATGTTGCATGTGTGAGGAATTTACGATTTGATTTTTAAATCTTATGCAAAAGTTCGCGAGAAACACGATGGTGCCACTGGTTTTCTCTGAAATCAACTCCAAAGCTCAAAAAAGCTCTCAAGTTGAGGCCAAAATGGAGGGGATATCCCACGCTATCCTGGGAGTCCACGTCTACATCAAGACAAACCCTCCGTGCAAAGATAGGGAAGAAATACATTAGCAGGATTGCCGTGTTTTCAGTTTTGGAGTCCCCAAATAAAGTGGCAGCCCTGTCAATGTATTTGCTCCCTATCTTTGCATGGATGTAGACGTGGATTCTCAGGATAGCGTGGGATATCCCCTCCATTTTGATCTCAACTTCAGAGCTTTTTTTGAGCTTGGGAGTTGATTTCAGAGAAAACCAGTGGCACCATCGTGTTTCTCGCGAACTATTACATAAGAATGAACAGTTAAATCGCAAATTCCTCACACGTGCAACATCTCAATTGCTTCGATTGATATCGATTGTTTTACACGCAATTAAATAGACAAAAACCAGGTTGCCAACTTGATGAATTGCCAGTGCCGATCCCTACGTCCTCCCTCGATCATTCGAAGCAGTATCTTATCTTAAGGACCGCCTTCCTAGGCTCGCCCTGCTGAATCACGCTCCTCGGGCGAACTATCTCATGATACGTTAAAGACCTGACAACCATCCATAAGTGTATCGCGGTACTCATGATCATACATGAATTCTGTGTCATCACTCATCTAGTCTTGCATCGATTAGCGTGCGTGTTGGTGAATTAATCGATTGCTGAGAGCTGCGGCACGAGCGTTCGACGAAGTGGACTGGAAATCAGGTGATAACCTAAACCGAGTTTAACACAAAGGAACCGAGTGGATGGACACGTTCCGTCGTTTTCCAGACGAAGGAACGTAATTCCGTTTGGGCATTTTTTTTAAAAAGAGGCATTCGGAATGAAAAAAATAATTCTATTGTCTCGTCGAAAACCTATATTCATAGTTAATCAAATTAATAAAATAAAGAAATAAAAATAATGACGGAAAACGCATTTTGATGACAGCCTAATGGACCACTCAGTGTGGGTTGAAGGAAAAGAAATATTGGAGAGATTTGAAAATTCAGTGAAATATTTCATGAAATTTCACGAGGCTGTGAAATATTTCATATTTTTCAGGGGCTAGAGTATGCAACCCGTGCTCAAACATACAAAAATAGAAGGAAGACACAATTTTTACATTTAGCGAAACATGAAAAGGAGCCGGTATTTTTCTACATCTTTCATAAATTTCTGAATTTTCATGGAATATTTCGAGTGAAATTTTTCCTCCCTGCTATTGTCTCATCAAAAACCTATACTTATACACCGAAAAAAAGTGAAGTTGATTGAACACTCATTGATTTAAACAAAGTGTGCGAGAACTTATAAACTGCTGAAATACCCGCCAAAGCAGTTAGTTTTACATCTTCGCATTGCTAAAATAACTGCTGTAGCGGGTATAATATCGGCCAAAGCAGTTAGTTTTACATATTCGCATTGCTAAGTAACTGCTGTAGCGGGTAATTCAGAATTTTATAAGTTCTCGTACACTTTTTCACATCCACAATGTTAAAACAATTTCACTTTTTTTTCAGTGCAGTAAATGCCTCTGAGCTTGATCGAATCCCTCACCGAAAAAAAAAGTGAAGTTGATTTAACATTCTGGATGTGGAAAAAGTGTGAGAGAACTTATAAAATGCTAAACTACCCACCACTGCAGTTAGTTTTACACTTTGGCATTGCTAAAACAACGGCTGTAGCGTGCAAAGCATACTATAAGTTCTCGCACACTTTTTTTACATTCAGAAAGTTAAATCAACTTCATTTTTTTTTTCGGTGCTTGTCATTTTCCTCTGAAAGCTCGAATAGGAGGTAGACAACACCAACACCAATACGTAGACGAATGAATCTATGAGAAACTGCAATATAAACATTTTTATGAAACAGAAAACTTCGGTCTGATTCGAGCGCCAGCCACGTCCTGGCCCGACTGACTTCTCTCCTCCGACGCGCGTTCATCATTGCCTCGGGCAACGAGAAAATGACGTCACACCCAGATAACTCTAAACAAAATATCCAAAGCACTGCATCTCTTTTCGCATCATCACCAGTGGCGTGGCGTGAATTGAGATGTATCGATTGTTCTGCCATTTGAAGCGATGGTAAAGAATCGATTATTAAGGTGTTCGCTGCGAACAACCTGTTAATCGATCCTTTTACATAGGTTTAAATGGCAGATTAATCGATATATCGCAAAGCACGCCACGCCACTGATATTCACGCCCACCACCGTGACATATCATCAACCGCTTATCATTTTTGCGGAGCTGGTGCATCAATTGGATGCATTTATGCTAAAAGGAACTATACGCATAGAGTTTGCTTGCAACACAGTTCTTTTTAGCATAAATACGTCCGGTTTTGCTTAAGTTTGATGATGGTGAAAACAACGAAGGGATAAAAAAAGAACAGACGCTAGATGCTGAAAGATCATATCAGTTTCGTGGCCAGTTGATTCTTTAACGCTGATGTTAACATGACAAGACATCGAAAATCGATCTATGGATGCAGGTGTAGGGTCTTGTCTTGTCTTGCCGACTTAGCAAAAAAATAGTTTCAGCAAGCGGCTTGAGGTCAGTTTAAATATAATCGTGGTGTTTGAAGTTTACAGTCATAGTTTCCTCCTTTTGGACTTTTTCCATGGTAGTGTGCTATTGAAACTTCGAATTTCACTCCCGGGGGACCTGAATGAATGGATTTGAGTGCGTTGCATAAATGAGAGATGTAAGTCAATTTACCAGGCGCGGGAGCAGATAATTCTTCTACTCTCATATGAACAACAAAAGGTGATCTCAATCTGGTGTGTTGGCTTTGACCATTTTTAGTGTGTTTGACTTATTCTGCATGAAATTATGATGAGCAAAATGTTTGATGAGTACAACAACGTTTCGTGATTTGGAAAATGTTGAGTTAGTTGTCAATGATAGTTTTAACTCACATTTATTTTGGGTTTTCCGCAAGCGGGAGGTTGGAGCTCTTTCACTTTAATATGGACAGATCAGCCAAAAGTATAGTTTAACTACATTTTCCGCTACCTCATTTTCTCTCAAAAACCCGTTTTTTTTAAATTGAGAACTGGACGCATTTCTGTCAAACGGAACTACATGCATAATGACGTGAACCCTGTTACGCATATATACTTGTGGGACTCAGGGCTCATGTCTTGATGCACGTAGTTCCGTTTGATTGAAATACATCCAACTGAACTACTCAGCGCCTCAGCTTGCTGTGGTTTTACCCTGGAGTATGAGGAATATACCCTGAGAATTTTGAGTTTCAGGGTTGCATTAGTTTTTTACTTAAAAATTAAAACAAGAAAGAAAATTAGGCAAAGCCTGATGTAGCTAGGCTGATTCCGACTGCATTTGTCCTTATGAACAACAAACGGTAATATCTATCTGATGTGATGATTTGGGGTATTTTCAGTATGCATAACTTGTTTTGTATGGAATTTCGATGAGAAAACATATTCTACGATTATGAAATTATTATCCTGTCCAGCAGTCCATTTAGACAGCGCTCATAAATTACGCCCCCCGGGGTGGCAGGGCCGGATTAAGGGGGTGGCCACATGAGCCGCGGCCCATGGCGGCAAATTTTGCAATTTTTTTAAACGTGGATATTACAAAAATCGGATTCAGAAAAAAATTACAAACAAGAAAAAGCGGCAAAATATCTCATTTCCTGAGAGTATAGTAATTTCTAATTTTGTTGTCTCTCGGCGATACAAAAGACTGCGCACCTTTAATTGGTTGAGTTACGAGAGAAACCAAAGACGTAATTTGGCCTGGAGCGACGCGACGCAGAGAGCAATGATGACGAGGACTTGAGATGAAAAGGAGAAGCCCTCGGCGCGGCGGTCGGCATGTACCACATATTAGCGCCTACAAGAATGCATGAATACTTCACGCATTGCGTCAAATACAGTGCGGTCAACAGCGCAGCGGTCGGCGTGAAACGCATAGCGCCTACAAGCCTGCATGAATACTTCACGCATTGCGTCAAACACAGTGCGGTCAGCGTGAAACGCGAGGCACTTACAAGACTGCATGAATATTGCACGCATTGCGTCAAACACAGGACGGTCAATGCGGTGCGGCGGCGGAAGTTAAAATTATTAAACCACACTTATGTTTGTTCAATCATAATTTTTTAGTTCATTTCTTACAAATGAAAGGCCTTGTCCGTACAGAATTAGGTTAACGGAACTGAACTTTCGCGCAAAGTTCTGTGAACTTTTGCTAGTGGTGTTGACAGGGCATACGCAAAAAACGGGTCCAACACTAGTGAACGCGTCGTATGCACCCTTCTCCTTCCGGCACGTTCACTTGATGGTTTTTATTGATGTTTAAAAACGAATGAGAAGGGGGCTGCAAAATACAGGCGGCAAGTTGGTAAATCCGGCCCTGCGGGGGGAGGGGGGGGGATATGAGCCTGCGTTACAAAGGAATAATCCTCTAGCTCTATTGTTAAAAGCACACACAAAATCTAAGTAAGTTCGCGCTATATGCCAATCGCCAATATTTCTCAGGGTATTTTTCACTTTTCTATAAATTCTCAACAACACTAATCAATAAGACACAGGTACCTCCCTTATTTATTCGAAATTAGCTGTCATGCTACCATTGAACCTACTTTAAATTGTATTCAGCTATATATTCAACAGTTTACTCCCCTAATTATTGGGATCTTCAGGGAGGAGAAGTTTATCAAGCGTTACGTATTTATTAAGGGGGGTACAAGGTTGCGTTACAAAGCGTTACAAGGGGAGGAAAGGGGTTCGAAATGCAAAAAAAAGAGCGTTAAGTAATTTGGGAACGATCCCTTAGCAGTACATAATTATAGTCATAATAAGATTGAGAGGTAATTACACTATCATAAGGTACACAAACGTTAAAAAACTCAGAGAAGAAGATAAAAAATATCTTGCCGTTTTCATTCCTAAAAAAAAAATGGGTTGAACCGCCGCGCAGTGCCGGCACTGGTGGTGTTGAACGTTGCCATCAAAATGGAGCCAAACGCAAACATTGATATTGCTTTTCGCTGCTCACTCTCACAACAGTATGAACAGCTGCGCGCACAGATAATTTAAGCCCCGATGATGGTCTAAATTCACCAACTGCATAATGAGCGAAACTGACAGGTGATTGGTCGGTGGAACCATTAGAGCGAAGCTGGACGCAAACTTTTATGAGAAGGTTAATAAACATTGGTGCTATGAACTCGTAGAACAGTTTACTTCGAATTTCACCGGGAAACGTTTCAAGATTGATCAGTATCTATGTTTCTCCCGGGAATGGTGGTCAGTGCGAACTTGAAGAAGCTTTTACAGAAAGGAAAGCTCAGAAAAAAAGTTAAGGAGCTCTGTGGTGTTTCTCACATAACAGGCCTTTAGACTAGGTACGAATTTGAGTATTCTGATATATGTTTCCACTTAAAACACGGCAAATAACGAAAATAGCTAATATTAACTCCAAACCAACATAATAATTGTTTTATTTAGCATTGAATATGAAAAATTTGACTTCTCTACACATAAGAAAAATTAGAGTCAGCTTGAATCAAATTGCCCACTACAGCGGTTTTTGCAAGCTTCTCAATAAGCAATGTTCCCTCCTCACCCTGTGTTGTTCAAAGTGTAAAAAACATACAATAGCTGAGTCGGAGTGACGATATTGAGGTTGTCATATTTTTATATTGTAAAAACTATCACGGAGACTTTTAGTGTGCGATTTAACTCGTGTAGATCAGTTTATGCGGAAAGTTTGAATTTATGCATGAAAAACGTTAATATCTTGGTGCGGAATTACATTTCGGTCATTTTCGTCGGACAAATCATGTTTCCGTGAAATTTGGATGAGTAAACGTATATCATATCACTTAACTTCGCATCTAGTCTGATGGTCTATTTTACCGAACAGCATGCCGCGTCTACATTAATGGTGGTTCAGTAATTTTCTTGCGGACAATATTAGAGGGCAGGAATTAAACTCCACCGGGCATGTTTTCCTATTATGGTTTTGCCCAAAAACATAGTAGACATGCTGAGATGATGATGTTTACAGTTATTTAAGAGTCAAATGACATTACGTAATTAGTTGATCCAAGGTTCTGCTGGTGGAAAAATGATTGAGTAATAAAAGGAAATAAGAGAGTGGAAAGAAGATACTGTCTAACGAGACCATAGGTTCTCGAAAATGAATAAGAAACTTCTGTCCACTTTTCGTGAAGCATAACATCCGTGCTGGTCCAATGACCACTAAACAGATACTCGTGAGGTAAGAAATTCTTTATTCGATAGAGCTCTCGCATGTGTCCGGGATTTGCGTTTTCAATGATACTTCTGCTGTAAAATTTCGCAAGAAACACGATGCTGCCACTGATTTTTTCTAAAAGCAAATCCAAAGCTCAAAATAAGCTTTCAAAGTTCAGACCGCAATGGAGGGTATATCTTCCACAACGTTGAGAGTTGATGCAATGCGAGAAGTATTCATGCAGGCTTGTAGGCACTAATAAGCGTTTGACGCTGACCGCACTGTTTGGCGCAATGCGTGAAGTATTTCTGCAGTCTTGCAGGCGCTGATATGAGCTGTCCGTATACTCTCGCCATAAAGGCACTCTAGTTTTCTCTGCGATCAATTCCCAAACTAAAAAAAAAGCTCTCAGAGTTCAGGGCGTAATGGAAATATATCCCAGGCTACGCTAGGAGTTCACCTCTCCTCTATATCTAATCTCCATGCACAGATAGGGAGCAAGTACATTAGCAGAGTTGCCGAGGTTCAAATGGGCAACCCTGCTAATTTATTTTCTCCCTATCTATGCAAGAAGAATTAGACCAGTTATAGAGGAGGGGTGTACGCAGTACTCCCAGCGTAGCCTAGGATATATTTCCATTACGCCCTGAACTCTGAGAGCTTTTTTTTTAGCTTGGGAATTGATCGCAGAGAAAACTAGAGTGCCTTCATGGCGAGAGTATACGGACAGCTCATATCAGCGCCTGCAAGACTGCAGGAATACTTCACGCATTGCGCCAAACAGTGCGGTCAGCGTCAAGCGCATATTAGCGCCTACAAGCCTGCATGAATACTGCTCGCATTGCATCAAACGCAATGCGAGAGTTACTTGCGATAACTTTTCGACCACGGGTGTAGGACTTTTGCCACTAGCCGGATGGAAGGCGCATCACACTGCGAAGATGACTCCACCGCATTCCCTTCCCTCGCCCACACGACGACGCTGAAGCCACCGTTAAACTAGGATTACGCGTCATCATTCTTGACTTTCTGCTCCGGTTTTCACCACAGTGGACCTTTAGACAAGGTACGAATTAAAGGATTCTGATACATGAATCTTCACCAAAATTTCATGCAAAACACGATTCGCGCGACGAAAATTACTGAAATCAACCCCTAGCGAAGATATTAAAGTTTTTATTTCACATTGATTTCAAGGAATTTGAACTGCCCGCTCACAAGAAACTCAAATCTCTACGTGAGTCGAATCGCGTACTACAACGGTTTCAGCAATCTTCTCAGTCGAGCAATGTTCATTTCCCACCATGTGTCGTTCAAACTATAAGTAATTTGCTATAGCTGAGCCGAAGCGTCAAGATTGAGGTTACCAGATTTTTATATCGCAGAGACTGTCATGATAAACGTTTAGCGCGCGATGTGAATCACGTAGAGCATTGAGTTTTCATGAGCGGGTGGTTTGAATTCACGCACCAGGAATCATTAAATATCTTCGTAAGGAGTTGATTTCGGTAATTTTCGTTGTGCACATCGTGTTTTACGTGAAATTTTGGTAAAGAAACATGTATCAGAATGCTGACATTCGTACCTTGTCTAGTGGTCCATTAAAGGGAAAATATGCATCTTCATTGTAACGTTAACATTTTCGAAGCTTACATTTTGAGATTACTCAGGAAAATTCATAGAAACCTTTTAGGAAAACTATGTGTAGGTTTTCAAAAATGCTGATTAAAAATACAACATAAAAAGTGGTGCATAACGTTGCAATCACAACGCGTGCTCCCGTGGGCTTTTGAACTCATTCATTTCTTACATAACTTGAACATGGCTATTCTACTATTTTTTACGTGTAGTTTTTCTCATTGCTTGGCGGTCGCTTAGAGGCCGCAGGCCCCTGGTTGTAATAGTAAACCGTTCTGGATAATTTGAATTGATAAGTTGGCTGCCCTTATGGGCCCCAACTTTATTCGCGGAGGCATCGGCGAAGGCCTGATGGATTTTCGGAATTTCAGACCTTCTACATATACTCTCGCTATGCAGGTACTCTTATGAGAAAACCAATGGCACCATCATGTTTCTAGTGAAATTTTACGAAAGAAAAAGTAATTTAACCGCAAATCCCTAACACACGCAAGAACTGCAATCTTCATTTTAAGGGTCTCCATAGGACCCAGCGTGTATAATTATCCTGTGAACAGAGTTGCCATAGAATTTGGACGATTTAATTCACTGACATTTCCCTGATTTCCCTGACAATTTTGGTGGAATTCCCTGACAATGGGCCAGTCGCGCTGGCCTTAGAATCGTGTTTTGATACTTGATTCTTGTGGATTTACTGGAAATAATCAGATCTGGTCAAACAGCAACGTTCTACGTCCAATATTAACCGAGATATCGCCCTTTAAAAAAATCGGTTTATGACATCATCCACCGCGGTAGTGACACCCTTGGTTTCTTCCACTTTGCTTCTATCCGAGTCATATGTTGAGTAACCAGTGCAAATGTGCGTTTGCCTGACTGATGAAAGCAAGGTTGAAGAAACCAAGGGTGTCACTACCGCGGTGGATGACGTCAAAAACCGAATTTTTCAAACGTGATATCTCGGTCACTGTTCAACGTGGAAAGTTGCAGTTTGGACAGATCTTAATATTTTTGGCTACTCTACAAGAATTAAGCATCAAATCAAAATTCTGGGATCAGCGCAACTGATCCATTGAACACATGCCAAATTGTGGAAAAGACATACGGTAAAAGCTCTCAAAGTCAAACTATCGTTGGGACGAAATCCCGATTAAGTCGAATTTTTTTTCGGTAGTAGTTAGAAACAGCTTTCAGGCAAAATTTGTTATTCGAGAAAGCAAATAAAGGTGACTTGACGATTTTTTCCTGACATTTTCGTCATTTTCCCTGGTATGACTTTTTTAAATTCCCTGACATTTCCCAGTGTGCCCGGTATTCCCTGATTGTGGCAACCCTGTGTAAAGGCACCAGAGACAAGAGACCCTCCACTCGTACCTCGACTATAGTGGAAGCTTTTACTTTCGGGACTTCAACATTCAACTGTTGACCTACCTACTTGGTTGATAGTTAACAACGTGTTGGCCGTTTCATTTTGCAGACAAACCTAAGTTTGGGAAACTTATTCGGCTCGACGTCACCCGAAGCTCATCATCCACCATGTAGGTAGGTCAACAGCCGAAAAAAGATTGAGGACTGTTGCTCCCTTATAATTGTCCATACGGAAGTATCGAATCCCTGAAAGTAAAAGCTTCCCCCATCGCCAAGATACTAGTGGAGGGTCTCTTGTCTCTGACCTGATTCCACCAAATGACTTAGAGCTTTCGATTCTCGCAGGCAGATGTCGCTGCAGGCGCGGCTGAAGCTGCGCAAGAGCCAACGGATATGGTTCTTTCTCCTAGCCGCGGGGACGTTAATCAGCCTCTCCCTCCTGTTCGGCGCCCGGCGGCATCGGATCCACCTCTCCCAGTTTCTAGCACCTCCTTACAAGGGCCCACCCCCCGATGACCTCTGGGCGAACATCAACAACGAAACAGGAGCCGCCGAGCTCATCGTCCCGAACATCGTCCACTTCGTGCTCTTCGAGGACCCGAAGATCAGCTTCATGCACTTCGTCTGCATCCTGGCGGCGCTGCGGAACCAGCGCCCGGAGAAGATCTACTTCCACGGGAACGTGGCGCCCTCTGGCGGGTACTGGGAGCGGCTCATGAAGTTGGAGCCCTTCACCGAGCGCCTGGAGATGCGGCGCGTGGAGCTGCCGACGGAGATATCCGGGGTGAAGATCCAGCCCGGGTGGCGGATCTTCCACGGAGGTGACGTCACCCGGATCCGGGTGCTCATGGAGTACGGAGGCATCTTCCTCGACAGCGACTCGTACGTTGTCAGGAGTCTCGACTACTTCCGACGCTTCGAGATGTCCATCGGCTGGGATGAAAATCAGTTCCTCGGTTAGTTTACATTTTCTCTTATGAGCAGAGACACATGGACCACGCTAAGCAGACAGGAACCAAGCCACATCAGCTATCGCCAAATTTTACTAGGCAATTTAATTTTTTACTTGAAAACGGTTGTGCGGATTTTCGTGCAAAAAATGGGTTTTCTCCATAGTACGCAGCAAATTCCTTAAAATTTTCAAAGGCTTGCTTCCTTCCTCCTTAGCGCAATCCAAATAGCAGTATGAGAGAATAACGCTGGGTCTACACGATAGGCCCAGGGTGGCATAAAACGTAAGAAAGAAATGAAAGATTGGAAATCTCAGTGAAATACTTCAAGAAATTTCACGAGGTTGTGAAATATTTTATATTTTTCAGGGGCTAGAATAAGCAACCTGCACTCAGACACACCAAAATAGAAGAAATCTAATTTTTTTATTTTGCGAAACATGAAAAGGAACTGGTATTTTTTAATATCTTTCATGAATTTCTGAAAATTCATGAAAAATTTCACTTGAAATTTCAAGATTTCATTTTTCGTGAAATTTTGCCATCCTGTATGAGTCAGTTGTGCTATTCGCAAAATCGCATTAAGATGGGATAAGCATATGGATGTGTAAAAAAAAAGTAAGCCAAGAGCAACGGAGAAGGATTTCTAGAGGATTCCTAAACTACCCACGCCAACTACCTCACGGTAGCTGGTGCACCTTTAACCAGCCGCTGGTTGTAACGACTAACCTATGTTTTTCCGTGTATACTTTCAGAATATTAAATAAAAAACACAAGGTTTAGTGACCCTTGTACTTTGTTTCCAGGTTCCCAGATCATAGTAGCCCACAAGGACGCTCGTTTCCTGTACCACTGGCTGCACAGCTACGACGGTGCGTACGACCCGAAAAAGTGGTACTACAACGCCGGCGAGCTGCCTACCACCTCGGTCCTCTATCACCACCCGGAGCTCGTCCACCGCGTCAAGGTCCTCTTCGGCAACGACATGAAGTTCATCCACATGCTCTTCAGCAAGTACTGGCCGGGCTGGCGGGAGAACTACACCTTCCATCTCCTCGCCAGACACCAGTACTTGCTCAAAAACATCTCCTCCGTCGCCTACTACCCCGTCGTCTTCGACGAGTTCAACCTCCAGCACTACCCCATCACCTTCCGCGAGATGGCCAACGAGGTTCTCGATTACGAGAAGCAACTCTTGGGGAAACCTATCAAGGGACCAGCAGGCTGATTCTTGACATTGATGGACAAAGCGATAGACAAAGAAGACATAGCGACGGCGCAAGTCCGCAATCACATATCGTCACCTTCCAGGCAAAGTATCACAAGCGCCATGCGACGTTTAAAAATTTCCGCCGCCATTTTATTTCTTTACTGAGAAATTGTTGGTTGAATCTTTTTGGAAATTTCACTAAATTTTATCGGCAGCACAAAGAAAATTCAGTGAAATTTTCGGACAGCTTCGTTGAACAATTTCTCTGTAAAAAAATAAAGTGGCGGCGGAAATTTTTAAACGTCGCATGGCGCTTGTGATACTTTGCCTGGAAGGTGACGATATCTCGTTTGCGGTGTCTGAAAATCTCCGCCTCTTTATTATTTTTTAGAAAGAGAATAAATTGACATCACTTCTTGAAGTTTTTGCAGAATTTTCTTCGCACAGAGAAGAAAAATCAAGGCAGTTTTGAAGAATTGCCGTTGAGTAGTTTTCCGTTTAAAAAATAAAGCATGACAGGAAGTCAGCGACGTCGCAAACCGAGTTATGTGATTGCCGACTTACACCGTCGATAGGGAGTAAGGAGCGATCCTATTGGTTGAAATGGGTAGCTCCTGTAGACTAAGGGAGAAAATGACAGACTAAAAATCGGGTATCCCATGAGTTGTCGTTAGCTAGTCTATTACCTACTGCTTTTGTCCATTGCAACCACCCTTTCCTTCAATAGGATCCCTCTATATCCCTGTTTGTCTACAGCTTTGTCTACCAATTTCAACAATCAGTCCGCAGGTTGAGCTTTCACGTTTGGCTTATTATTGTTAAAAGCAGCTATGGGCAAATGTTCCTTTAAAACTAGGGGGTATGCCCCCTGGCCGTTTCGCGGCCCAACACTTAAAGAGTGCTTTGCACTCACGCCCTCAGGCCCACTTGCCGTTTTTTAATCTTGACAGAGCGACTTCATCGAAGGACTATCTCCTATCGACAGCTTGAAAAATCATGGAAGTCGACCTGGTTGATCTTTCGGACGAATTACGGCAAAACAGGAACATTTACATCGTTTAAATGGGAGTATTCACCACTCCATCACTTGATATAGAAGGACCTAGGTTCCAAAATCTGAATAAAGCCGACCTAGGGCCTTTCGACTGTTGATACCTGGAAAATCACGGAAATCAAAATGTGGAGCGGTAAAACGAACTGTGACAAAAGTTGGCCCAAATGTGATGAAATTTAGTTATAGGCAGACATGGAACAAAGTTCGATAGAGTATGATGGAAATTTTGAAAAAAAATTGGATGTAATGGGAGGAAACCGAAAAAATCTCGTTTACTCGAAATCTGCGTGTCTTTAAGTGCCCTATCACATCGTCAGACCTATTAAAATGTATGGTTGATCTCATTAGTTTTTTAAGATGTACGTATGATGTGTGTTTACGTTTGTAAGTTGTTATGTTTTATGTTAATTTTAATAAATTTAGCGTCAATCTCAGTCGATGCACAAATATCTTTTCGACGATAGAGTTCAAAAAGAGTTCCTTAAAATCAAAATCAAAAAGTAGAAGATAACCGAATTCCTGTAAATGACAATCAATAACTTATCAAAAATCAATTTGCAAGTCACCCTAATGTTATGTATCAGTAAATGGTTGCTTCAAACCGAGTCTCCGTGCTCATAATGTTTCACTAAAGAAAGCTGTATTGCATCGCGACGTTTTGAAGGCGCTGGGGCCTAAAGCAAATAATTCAGGATGATACGATACCGATTCTTACAGATAAATAGGTAGAGCTACAACAAAAAACAATAATTAGATACTCGTAAATAACATTTGTGCGAGTATAATTATGTAGGAAAATTTGAAAAATATGGACTGGTCATATTAGTAACAGAATTATTGATTATTGGAGTTACAGGGATGCCCTCCGCCCTGCGCCTGCGTATAGGTAGGCAAATATATTTAGTGTCTGGTTCCGAGGAATGAAAAAATAGTTTTAATGGACAGTTTATTTTCATAGAATCGAAATTGCAACGTCTCATCAATTTTTGCGGGTTTAATTTTGAGACAGTTTATCATCAAAATTCCATTTAAATTTTTCTAATTTTGAGTTTGTGAATGAATAGGAAAAGACAGTAATTTACTCCCTCGGAAACTAGAATGGCTTAAACATGTAGGTAGCAGATTTTAACCGGCACCTCGTAGATTTAGGTCGTGATAGCATTAATTAAATTTGGGCTCGGCGAGAGTCAGAGGAGTTTCGCAATGGACATTTAGGAGAAATTTAAAATAAAATTTTGCTTACGAGAAATTTGTTGAAAACATTTTTGACGCGGAATTTTTCTCTTGCGCTACTTACTGTTATCAGCGGACGCATATAAGCTACCCAGACAGGGCGCGTCCGCTGATAACAGTGAATAGCACGAGTAAGAAAAAGAATTAAGGGGAAAAAGAAGGAATTGTAATTATTACATTTACTAGAGTGTGTTCGGGAAGGACAGCGAGTCCTTTTAGGTCTGGTGCAGCTTTTAACTACAGTATACCGGTTAGCTAGAAAGGTCTGAAAGAAGTAAAGTGAAATCTCGCTATGTCAAACTACGGTTGAGACGAAATCCAACTAATTGTAAGTTCGAAAATTATTCCGGTCCTTATAGACACCGCCATAAGACGCAACGTAAATAACTGCGATTTTCACGAATTTGTGACTTTTGCCGCGGAGAAAGCTGCTTAAATCAGAGAAAAACGTTTGGAAACCCAACAAAAATTAGATTTTAAACGTAGAAAATCAAGAGGAAAGGGCGGTTTTGAGCGATTCTGTTATAAACTTGGTCCATTCAGAGTTATCTGTGTGGAACGTCTCTACTTATTTTTTGCTCAGGAATCTAAGAAAGCTTAAAATTTGAATATATTGAAAGCAGTGGTTAAGTAACATTCTCCTTCGATCGAAATACAATTTTTTGAGTCAAATAAATTCCGTTTAGGTACTTAAAAGATAATTTTCTTCAGATCAAAGTTTTTTTTTTTAAATTAATCGTTTTTAATTGAAAAAAATTATTTCACACCGAAAAAAAAAATTATTGATTCAAAATTGTTTTCATCCAACGAAATGGTTTGTGATCATTGTCCTCGTATACATAAAAAATCAAAATGCGACGTGGTGTTGACGGACTCTGACGTGACAACGCCGAAAACAAGTACGTGTGAACCACGTGTAATTACAAAATGAGTGGACCCAATCATAGTAATTTCCTCCCGGAAGCGAGATATGGATAGTGCGTCCTGTTGTCCCGCAGTTGAGGAGTCAAGGTACTCGCAGGAAGAATCAGAGTGCTCGGAGTCGGAGGAGAACTCTTCTTATCACGACTGGGTCGCGCCATTCTGCAGGTAAGAGCACAAACAAATATGTACCCACATTCCATATCCTGTGGTTGTCGCGTTCATACTTTCCTCCATAAAATCAAAATGTACGTCTTAAATAAAGAGGTAAAATTTTTCGGTCCTACAATTATTCAGACATCGAAGGGGTCAAAGACTGATTCCACGGGAGTATATTTTACAACCTAACCTTCAAACCTGTTGGGAGAGTGCGTCAACTTAGCTTTTAAGCATTTTAGAAACTTTATCTGCGAAATCAGGTGTGGCACATGTTGAATTCGGGTATTTACAATATTTAAGGCTAAAAACATTTATCGTTGCCTGGTGATTATTGTTGAAAGTCATGTTGGATGAGTTTGTTGAAACAGTTTATCAAACTGGGATATCTTTGATCAGCGCGTTACTCATTAAGCATCAAAAGGCAAAAAATAGATTTGCTCTACGAAAGTAAATTTCACACTGCAAGAAGCTGCTAGTGCTCAGTCTCGGAACAGCAGTCCCTCGAATCAATAAGGAATTTTACGGACAAAGAGAAAGTTTCTCATTTAGCGTTTACTTCTCTTGTCTCATTCGAAGCAGCCAACTCAGCTGAGTACAGAACTTTGTAATGCTGCCAAATTTTAACTAAGTTTGTCAATTTTTGGATACGCAATACACATAGAAGAGTCATCGAGAATTTAAAGTTGAAAGCTCAACTTTTCAATGATCGCTCCTAGAATTATTAAACTTACATGGTAAGGCGGCACGGTATTTAAGACGATACATCAATCTCAAAAGCCCCCCAAAATACCATATTCTATGTACGTGTAGATAAGCTGATACGATACGAAAAAAATTAAAATTGAGTAATTTTAAATTGTTTTTTCCGACATTAAAACTTATATTCAATCATTTTATAAAGTACTCGAACGCGAGGCGAAAGTATGAATTGGGCTCGATATCTCTACTTCGGCGAGAGGATACGATAGAATCGATTTTGGCGTGTCAAAAATGTCAAAGTTATGATAAATTTGGAAAACTATTAAAAAAATAGGTATTACGAGCAATAAAGTCTTATAAGATTGGCAGATTGCGATAACCAAGACTGGTTTTAACGTCGGGTAGGTATCAGTATTGAGCTGATCCCGTAGGTTGCCTTTCGGCTGCTTTATCGGTCATGTGTATATTTTTTTTCATTTCGAAAATTTATCGGTCATCTGATTGATGGAGGCGGATGACCATCAATGTTGTCTGAGCGTTGGACTGATCAGATTGCCCCAAGACTAGTAACCGTGGCCAAAAAATATCCTGAAAACGTTGAAGCTTTCCGGTGATTTTGTCGGACAGAGAAAAAAAATATATGCATACACAATACTCGATACTAAAAGTATCAATTTCAACCTGTCAGAGAAGACATGAACGCTTTACATCAAATCAGAGGAAAGATCTTACCTTGAAGAAACCGCATGAAGCTTGTCTGAGAGCTATGCTACTGGGCCGCTGAGTTCCTTTTCGCAAAGTCTAATTTTCGTTTCTATCCTAGGCTCAGGAGCACTGAAAGCAAAAAAAAACAATGAGTACTGCATTACTGAGAGGTTGAGAACATTGAGAGACCAACGCAAGAAAGTGATGATAGTAATGCAATGTTTTAGTTCTAAAGTAAGTTTGTTTTCAAGCGGTGCCTTAGCGTCATGGGTGCATTCATTTAAGGAGTATTAACGATGCCTCAGATTTTCTGAACTCCTACCAGTTTTATAACGATTATCGTAGTTTCTCGTGAATGCTGCACTAAACTTATATTGGACAGTTTTTTCGCAGTTTCACTTAAGATTGTGAATTGCAGAATTTCGGATATTTGAGATTCCCACGTTCCCTATATGAAAGATGTACAGCAAAGACGATCAGCAAAACTTTCTTTGAACTAGGGAAAGAAACGTGCTCGATTTGCCATCTTTTTCTCCGCGCCTTATAGTGGGTTTGTTTACTTGGAGACAAGATATTAAATAGATATCCCTTATTCATACATTCTAAGCTTGTTCCTTCTGTCTTAATAATATTCGTAAATAAAGATGTACATTTTCTTGAGGATAGGTCGCGGCATTATTCGGATTGCCCGACAACAACCGTGCGAGCTGCGCTGCGAGATAGAGAAATGTAGTCATTGTGGTATCACGGAAAACTGAAGGCGTTACCTTGGTTCGAAGGTAAACTGAATGGATGTGACTAAGCATTGGACAGTAATACGGCATTAATAAGAATTAGCCTAACTTTATCAAACGTTACCAAATTTCTTCTCATATTTTATTTATTGTTTTTTTTTTTTAAAGAAAACTAACCAAAATTATTCGTTGAAACTGAGTAAATGTATTCTTCGCACTACGAGAGAAATTCACGGAAAGTTTAAGGCACCATGCTGCTTAACTTTTTGTGTGCGAAAAATCAAACATGGGAGAAAAGCAGTCAACGTGAAATACAGGTGAGGTAATTTGGACAAAATCTGTCATATTGACCTAACTAATACTTGTAATTCTTCGCAATCCTGATTCCAATACCAAACTGTAGGAATATGTGTGGCGTTTAAATCCTAATGAGGACACTTTAAGGGGACGTCGTCCGACAATTTGATTTAATTCAAGATTCAAGCTTTACGCACATTGAGCCGATGTGATATCTTCGGACGGGTAGAACGTTTTTCATTTGATATTTTTTCGGATAAGTATACGAGTGGCTGATCGAATTTTACAAGAGAGATTGGACCACATTCTGCAAAAAGCACCTATCGTACCTATGGCTTAGTTTGGAGACGACTTTGATATGAGTTTCCGTATGCAGATAGGTGTTTTTATGAAGGACCCACAAACAGTACTGCAGTGTTATAGAGAAGAACGCCGTATGAACATTCGATAGTTGCCGAACTTCCTTCGATAAAATTGTTATTTTTGTGAAACGTTATGAATATTTTTCCTTGAACGTTTCAGGAGCTTCAGTTGAAACTGCGAACAAAATTATCTGAAAATTCTGAGGAAAATAAGCATAAGTTTACCAGGAACTTCGTGTTATATCAAAGGACATTTGGCAACGCCTGAGGATTCATACGGCGGTTTTCTTTAGCACGCCGTGGTAGAATAGTCCTTAATGGAAAACGTTAGACCAATTGTGTTTGGCAGAAAAGACCTATCTACAGAAAGGTTAAGAACACTTATTGCCAGGGCCGGATTTACCTACTTGCCGCCCATGGGCCGCCTGTATTTTGCCGCACCCTTCTCATTCGTTTTGAAACATCAATAAAAACTATCAAGTGAACGTGCCGGAGGGAGAGGGGTGCATAAGGCGCGTTCATCTACTCGTGTTGGATACATTTTTTTGCGAAAGTCCTGTCAACACTACTAACAAAATTTTACAGAACTTTGCGCGAAAGTTAAGTTCCGCAAACCTATCTCTGTGTGGACAAGGTCCTCCATTTGTAAGAAATGAACGTAAAAATTATGCAAGAACAAACATAAATGTGATTTAATAATTTTGACCTCCGCCGCGCCGCCGCGAGCGCACTGTGTTTAAGACGCAATGCGTGAGGTATTCATGAAGTCTTGTAGGCGCTATGCGTTTCACGCCAACCGCTCCTGGTCGCACTGTGTTTGGCGCAATGGGTGAAGTATTCATGCAGTCTTGTAGGCGCTATGCGTTTCACGCCAACCGCTCCTGGTCGCACTGTGTTTGGCGCAATGGGTGAAGTATTCATGCAGTCTTGTAGGCGCTAATATGTGTTACATGCCGACCGCTGCGCCGAGGGCTTGTCCTTATCATCTCAAGTCCTCGTCATCATTCCTCTTTGCGCTGAGCTCCAGGCCAATTTGCGTGTTTAGTTCCTCTCTTGACTCGACTAATTAAAGATGTTGTCTCTTGTATCACCGAAAAACGACAAAATTAGAAATTACCATACTCTCAGGAAAGAGAGATTTTGTCCCCTTTTCTCATTGGTAATTTTTTTTCTGAATCAGATTTTTTTTATACCTACATTTAAAAGAATTGCAAAATTTGCTGTCCCCTAAATTTGCCGCCATGAGCCGCGGCCCATGTGGCCACCCCCTTAATCCGGCCCTGCCTATTGCTTTGGAATTCAATGGAGCTTTGAGAGGTTTCTTTATACGAAAGCTCTGCTTCGTTTCTCGTTGATGCATACTGCATGGTCCCCTCTTTCCACAATTCCGTATTCGTCCCTATCTAAGTTATATTAGTAGACTATTACACATATGTCTTTTCTTCAAAACTCCTAATGAAGTTAGTTCCGGACTGTTTAATGACGTCCAATTAATCGACGACACAGCGGTCGTGCATTAATCATTAAGCTGGCAAGTTTCCAGCTAGAATATTGACCAGTGCAGAGTGTTTATTTTGCCAGAGCGGAGGGCTTTGGTCTGCTTTCTTTGGCGATAAGACGTGAAAAATTCAGTTGGTTTAGCTTTGTCCAGTTGGATGGATTGAACTCAAAACAGCCGGGCTGCAATACACTTTGCTGATTTTCTCCATTTTTTTTCACAACGAAACCTGAACAACATACTGCCCGAAAACTCTTGGTGAATTTTCTCTATTCCTCTGAAAGATTTATTCACAAAATACAGTTTTTAAAATGCCTCTTAGTTTTCTGATAAAAAAAACAAAACAATGGTGCAAATACGCAACGTCTGATTCGGTTAGGCTGATGTAAATTCTATCCATTCGGTCGATCTCCGAAGAGCATACTTAAGCGTTTCTCTATCTTCATGCATCAAAATAACATTTGGAGGTTTTAATCAGAATTAGCTCGACTGCATTTCATAAAGTTTAATTTCCTCCTGTGTTTATATTAATTTGTCAATTAGTCAATTATTTTTTTAACGTTTATTTATCATTTTTTTAAAAGAATTTTTACGTAAATTTATTAAAAGAATATACTCACAAAATTATGAGTCAGAATTTTACTCAGTTTTCTATTTAAAGAAATGAAAAACTAGAGGAGATTAGGCAACGTCTCATGTTACGTCGGTCCATTACGTTGACGACCTCAAAACAACGTGATGCGCCTACCGCCCTGCGAAGATTCCTACTGATAGAGGAACGAGAGCACCACTAAAGCGCCTTCAATTTTTCAGTATGCAACACAGACATCCTTGGAGCACGTTTAGTTGTATTCAGACGCTACTTGTTAGGAAGCTAAAGCTCCTTCCATATTTCCACGATTTTCATCCTAAGAGCAGCATACAGTTGTCGATATCATGACGTAACATGCTTCGACTGAGATGATAACTCTTGGTAAACGATTTCTCACACTCATACAGTCTTGTTTCCTTCCACTTTTCCCCCCTTTTTTTCAATCAAAGTGAAGATATTTTTGAGGATATGCGGTTTTTCGTTTTTCCCGGGCGATTTTTATTTGAGCTGCCCGGTGCGTTCGACGTCGTAGAAAGTCGACTAGCTAGACGTCGAGCGATCGAACCCTAACTCTAGATTAACTCCTAACCGTGATAAATTAGTTTTTATGAATAAATCCAAACTTTCCGCTCATGGGAGAAAGAGTAATTTACTTGGGATGAATTATGTCACTGTGCCAGTCTCAGAAATATGAAAATATGGCAACCTCAATCTTGACGCTTTGGCTTAGCTATAGTAAGTTGTACACACTTTGAACAACACAAGGTGGGAGAGAAACAATGCTCGATTGAGTAGTACCTATGCTAAAGCCGTTGTAGTGCGCGATTTGACCCGTACAGGGTATTGTTTTTCTGTAGCCGGGCTATTCAAAATTCCCGTGACCAGTGTATTTTAAAAACGTTATTATCTTGACTAGGAGTTGATTTCAGTAGTTTTCGTTGCAAGAATCGTGCTCTACGCGAAATTCTGGAGTAGAATCATGTATCGGTGTACCTTGTTTAATGGTCCATTCAATCTAAAAAAGTGAACATAAAGAACTTTCCTAACTTTTCTCAGAAAAAAACATTTTATCGGAAGAAACGAGACAACGTTGGCATGCTCATACGGCATCAGAACACAACATGGACCTTTTAAGCCCCATTATTCGATGCTACGATTATTCCAACGCGAGTTCGAATAATCGCGTCAAACATAGTGCGGCCGACGTTAAAGACATTTCAACGCCTGCAAGACCGTAGGGATACTTCTCGCGTTGCGCCAAATGTTGCGGTTGGCGCGAAACGCATCAGCGCCTACAAGACTGCATGAATACTTCTTGCATTGCGCCAAACGCAGTGCAGTCGGTCAGTCCGCGTCAAACGCATATTAGTACCTACTACAGGACTGTAGGAATATTTCACTCGTTACGCGCACAGCGCGCTTTAATCGTTGTAATATCTCGGTGTCAAAAGTATAGTTTTTCTTCGGCGGAATTAAAAATCATAGAATTATCAATGCAAAAAAGCGAATATCTGTGAGAATAAAAATCAACGAATAAATTTAAAATAATAAGACAAATAAATACGAATACGCTTTAACTTCGCATGATTCCTCTTTCGAGGACAATCAATTTATATTTTATACAGAGGAAATCATAAAATATCTTTCACGTTCCGGTAGCTGTGTGCATTTTTAAGAGCCACATTTTACCGAGGTAAGGATAAATGCTGCATGAAAATTTCAACGTTGCCACATCTCTTCCGATGGGGCGGGGGGGGGGGGGGTCTCTCATTTTATTTCTTTGAATTTTTAAAAGATTTTCTCCGATATTTAACCTAGCATTTATGAATGTTTCAAAGAAAAATATTCAGAGCTTTTCTAGCGGATACACATTTCATCGAAGAAAATTAGACGAAATTCTAATCGTCAAGCTGCGTTTTCCATGACAAGGCAACATTGCTCTTGTACTTTAGTATTCGTATCAACTTTTAGAAAATATCGATAGTTCAGACCAGTATTTAAGCAGAAGCAACACATTTAAAGTAATGTTAGTAAAACTAAAACGCATTCAATTCAAAGCCTAACCCAGTAACTTCCGACCATTGAATGACGGAGAGGAAAATATGTCGAAAGGGGAAAGAATTACTCAAGTCTTTGTTAGTGCTTCGGTGAGCCTCAAGTGATAAAGCAGGGGTTTCCTGATTTTTAGTTTATGGTAGAAAGAAATACTTAGGTCATGTGCATGAGAATGAATATCATTCCGATTTTCCAGGTTTTTCACACCGCTGGACAACCTGAATTTGTGCATCGCACAAAAATAAATAAATAAGATAAAATTAAACGAATAAAAAGTTTAAAAGTCACATGCACAGAAAAAGAGTTATTATTGTTCTCTTCGGCAACGGTTAAAGGAGTGCTACTGCTGGAGCACTGCTGACGATGACGCAATCTCATACGCAGGCATCTCAGGTAAGACCTTTAGGAGCGGGTTGTTGGTGGGAGCGTACTGTACAGTGATGTCGAGTTGGGTTTTCTCTCTACCGAATACTGAAATCGTATTTGAAAAAATTTCGTCGCAATTACGAGTGCACAGAAACCCTTAAAAATCGACCAAGTATAGGACAAATTTGAACGGTATAAACATTATTTAAACAGTAAGGTCAAAAACAAATTGAGGAGAGAGAATCAAAATTTTGATGGCTAGATTCTAAAAAGAGAGCTTCGAGGGACAAACATCAAAACTTTTTAATTTTACATTTCAAGTGAAGAAAGTTCCATTTGATCACTCGTTCATTCATCCATTCATTCATTCATTCATTCATTCAGTGATACAAGCAAATACAATATTCTGTCATTTTGAATCATTGGCATACTCGTACAACGCTGGCCATTTTTTTGTTGGATACAAATAGCTCCAAGAAGATTCAGCTGGCTGATCCAATCGGAATTGAATCCTTCAGTTGGTATGCTCTTGAAGAAATGTTCTCAAGTAATGTATTGAATCTAAAATAGGCGAAACCGCTCGCACCTCATGTCCCAAGAAAATACAGAGAATTGCTCGTTTAAATCTTGAAATTGTATCTTTTCACTCATTCAAAACTAAACTCGACAGAATATTTTACTTCCCAGCACCGATCTCCTTCCCTAAGGTGAGTCAAATATTCTGAGAATACACATTCACTATTCATGCTTTGTTTCGACCGATGGACGATGTGTGCGCCTATGCGTAACTATTGTCGCCTGAAGTTTGCCTTCAATTACGACGGATAGGCAACAAACCTACCGGAGAGCGCGAATAACTGCCTATTTAGAAAATGAAAGGAATCAATCTTACTCCATGCTCTGCTGAAAGACTTCTTTTCCCGTGAACGATTATCACTTTCCAATACCCTCACTTTCCCAGACTTTGAGTCTTTAGTTGATTTATGGCCGGTCAATGACTACATTTGAATAAATTAGCACAATTAACGTATGAAGAATTCGCACAAGAGGATATGTTAGTTTGTTTTGGTTTGAACCAAGAGTTTGATTTGATATCGCATGACGTAGTCACTAAATCAGTCTATGGGAACCAATTTGGCCGTTTGGAAACCAATTCAGCGACTCCCTCGTAAATAACCAGGGTGTCTACTAAAACAGGCTGGCTTCAATCAGTACTTTTAAGTCAGCAGCTGGCAAAAATCAGTAATTTTACACCATGGGCCGCCTGCATTTTGCCGCCCCCTTCTTATTCGTTTTGAAACATTAATAAAAACCATCGAGTGAACGTGCCGGAGGGAGGGGAGGGGGTGCATAACACGCGTTTACTCGTGTTGGACACATTTTTTGCGAAAGCCCTGTCAACGTTACTAGCAAAAGTTCTCGGAACTTAGCGCGAAAGTTAAGTTTCGTAAACCTATCTCTGTGTGAACAAAGCCTTCCATTTGTAAGAAATGAACGTAAAAATTATGCAAGAACAAACATAAATGTGATTTAATAATTTTAACTCCCACCGCGAACGCACTGTGTTTAAGACGCAATGCGTGAAGTATTCATGAAGTCTAGTAGGCGCTATGCGTTTCATGCTGACTGCACTGCTCTTGACGTAATGCGTGAAGTATTCATGCAGTCTTGTAGGCGCTATGCGTTTCACGTCGACTGCTGAGTGCTGCTGACCGCACTATGTTTGACCCAATGTGTGAAGTATTCATGCAGTCTTGTGGGTGCTAATATGTGTTACATGCCGACCGCCGCGCTGAGGGCTTCTCCTTTTCATCGCAAGTCTTCGTCATCATTGCTCTCTGCGCCGCGCCGCTCCATGCCAAATTGCGTGTTTGGTTTCTCTTTTAACTCGGCAATTTAAAGGTGCTGTATCTTGTATCACCGAAAGACGACAAAATTAGAAATTACTATACCTCAGGAAATGAGAGATTTTGTCGCCTTTTCTCGTTTGTATTTTTTTTTCTGAATCCGATTTTTTTTAATACCAACATTTTAAAAAAAATTGCAAAATTTGTCGCCCCCTAAATTTGACGACATGGGCCGCGACCCATGTGGCCACCCCCTTGATCCGGCCCTGCTTTTACAGTACTTTTTCAGTACATTCCCAAGAAATTCAGTACTTCCTCAACAGAAAAATTCAGTACTTTTTCAAGGCCTTTAACTGACGAAATTCGAAAAATTTGAATTTCCCGCTCAAATTGCGACAAAAATGAAACAAATTCCGGACTTTCTTGCAAAATTTCCGCACTTTTTCAGTACTTCTGGGCCGCCCTTGAAATATCAGTACTATTTTCGGACTTTCTGGAAATTCCGGACTTGTAGACACCCTGATAATCTGGCTCTCCAGGTTTTCCAGCCCGCTGGAAACCCGGCCACATTATAAACACGTTGTTTGAGCAGCGACTTGGCGCGGGCGCCAGGAGCGTCTAGTTGGGCGTCGCGACGCTTGGCGGGCGGCGGCGCTGCAGTCTGTTGGCGGTTTCGACGCTGTCCGGTCGGCAGTTGCGGCTCGCCGTTGACCCGCTTCGCAACCGCGTGTTCCGTGCCATGTCCCAACCGCCAACCTCGTGCGCGTCCCAGGTGAATGTGAATGTGAATGCCAGTTCAGTGCCAACGGACAGTGCCTCGGCCGTAGGAATATCTGCCATTTACCGCTGACACGCTCCACACAACCGCCTAATGCGCACCGGATAAAACAACGCAAGCAGCATCGTCCGACATGGGGTAGTTACTTTTTTCTTTGAGTGCTTCTTGAAAAATCACCAAAAAATAACTTGTAATCGTTGCTTTAGGCAGAAAAGTCGTAGCTACATCTTTGCCCTCCCAAGGGCTTCCCATTGTGTTATTATTGAAGTTGCTGATTAAACAACGCAAGCCGCATCGTCCGACATGGGGTAGTTACTTTTTTCTTTGAGTGCTTCTTGAAAAATCACCGGGAAATAGCTTGTGATAGTTGCTTTAGGCGGAAAAGTCGTAGCTACATATTTTCCCTCCCAAGGGCTTCCCATTGTGTTATTATTGCTGATTAAACAACGCAAGCCGCATCGTCCGACATGGGGTAGTTACTTTTTTCTTTAAGTGCTTCTTGGAAAATCACCGAAAAATAACGTATATAAGTTGGAATTTTTTAGCCACGTGCGTTAAAAATCAGCATAAAGATGAAAACATCAATACAGAGGGAAGAAGCTCATTTGAGCACAATTTCCCTCAAAGAGATACGCTGTTTTGTGCAACACTAGTAACGACCATTCAGAAATGTGTTGCAGTGTTACCAAACAGCGTAGCTTTTGGGGGGAAATTGTACTCATATGAGCTTCTTCCCTCTGTATTGAGATTTTCTGCTTCATGCTGATTTAACGTTGGCTAAAAAATTCCAACTAACCTACTGCCTTACGACCCGTGCGTCTACCGCAATCAGTTTGTGTAAATAACTTATATTAGCTGTTTAAGACAGAAAAGTCGTAACTGCATATTTTCCCTCCCGAAGGAACTTCCCATTGCATAATTATTGAAGTTGCTGATGAAACAACACAAGTCATCAAGTCATAGGGATGGTCACTTTCTTGTGCGTTTTTTAAAAGAAATCATCGAAAGTAATCTCATAAGTAAATTAGAGCAGAAATGTCGTAACTACAGTTTTTCTGATTCCAAGACACTTCCCTACTGCCCCTTTGTTTCTACTATAATGCGCTTTAGAGGCTGTTGATAAAACAACACAACCCATATCGTCCACAGTGGGGTAGTTATTGCGATTTTTTCAGTGTCTCAGAAAATTACTGGGAGTGAACCTACAGCCTACCTATTATGAAAATTTCCGGCAAATTTTACGCCCCGAGAACGGGAATCCCCGGTAATTTACTCGGTCACTCTCTTGATTGTGTGTGAATGTGCGTATTTGTGTGCGTATTTCCGTATAAAGAACGCATTTAAGGTGATTCGTCCTGCTATCTGGGGTGGTCGAACTGGCGTGCGATATCGCACCGATTAAGTAGAAATTCTCTGCAGATTTTGAATTGTAAACAAAATAAGGACGATAGCTCCTGGGCATAAGCCTAAAAAATAATTTTAACCTCCAAAAATTGCCAAACTTAGAGAAATGAAAGCAGGATTCTTTTTGGAAAAAAACTTCGCATTCGATACAGCTTATATATAGATTTTTATACGCAACTTATATATAGATTATCGAATCTCTTAATAACCACTGCATCAAAGTTTCCAGGAAAATAAGTATCAGCCGAGAAGCTCCTATTTGGAATCCGCCTGTTTTTCGACAAACCCGTTTTCGTTGAAAGGAACCAGCGAGCTGGTTGTTGAAATTGATAGACAAAGCTATAGAGAAAGAGGACAAAAGGTATATGGAGGGATCCTACAGGTGGAAGCGGGTGCTTGCAATGGACAAAGGAGGTACGTAATAGACCAACTAACGGCAACCCACTAGAGGCGCTTAGTTACTCCATCATTTCCTCCCTTAGTCTATGGGAACCACCCACCTCAACCAGAGGATTGCTCCATACTCCCTATGTCTTCTTTGTCTATCAATTCTAACAATCAGCCCGCAGTCTGGTTTGGGCTGAAGTTTGGTCTGAAGAAGCCTCACATAGTAAAGTTTCATTAGTTAAAGTGCGTTAGGAGCAAACTTCCGCTTTGTTTTCCGACTTGAACTTGTTCCCTTTGAACGAGAAAGGGTGAGGATGTGCAGTCCCGGTCAAAACATCCTTCCGAGAAACAACAAGTACCCAGAACCGCAACTGTTTCTCATAAACACTCTGAACCTTGATCCTAATTCCCATTACAAACTAAATCAATTCGTGGTATTGGAAATTCATGGGCATCGAGGAAAATTGGCCGTGGAATTTTCCAATTAACTTAAGTGCCGCTTGCATGAATTAGAGAAAAGCGGAAGGAGTGTGAAAAGTGTCATCCGATCCTCTGTCAGCCTTTTCAATATGAAAAATGCAAGCCTCTTTAAAAAGATGTTGGTATACATTCATTAATATTTGAGATAGTAGAGGATTGAACAACTTTTTTCTCGCGGTTTTCGGATTTGTATAAGAAGCAGTTAGCACTCGAGCTAATTGAAAAATATTACAAACTTTAAAGTACGAAATGTTGAATGCTTGTGAGGACGGTCGGCATTAAATCGCGCAAATTATTCAGTGTTATCGACCGTTTTGAATGATCAAGATTTTTTCGACGAGAATTGAGGTCAATGCTCAGACTTATACGGAAGGCCAGAGCGTTGATATGATATGAGCACAAGCTGCGATTTTAATGGGAATTTGTATTGATTTCTTGCTGAGTTCACCTGTTACTTCTTAATGAATCACTGAAAACACCGTTTTGATGCCCAAACCTTAGGTGAGGTCATTGGCGTGAATGAACGCTTGGTGAGGGAGGGTTGAGGTGCACGGGACAATTTACTCTCCGCGGGAAACAAGTGAAATTAAACAGAATCATACGACTACTAGTGTTGTTTTTTCGAAAGGGAGGCCCCGTGACCCTCTAGCTCCCCCGAGGAACAATAGGTGGGATTTTTTCACCTAAATTTTTCGTAAAATAACTTGCTCCGCGTAGATTTCCAAATGACACTTTCAAACAGGGAAATTGCAAATTATCGAATTTAAGTTGAGATTCTTATTCCACTTCATCACCAGAATATCGCCGGTACCATCAAAACTACCCACTTTTATTGCTGTAAAATGGTCTCATCATCGATGAAGTCACCATACGTTTAATTTTGATTTCACTTCAATTCATCGCGAATTTCAGTTTAGTGATAAGATTTCAATTAATTGCCGTCAATAAAATTGTGATCATTCCTTGATCGAATCGTTACAATGGGGACCGGTCTTGCACGGCTGTATGCTGTATATGACATCAAATAACAACTAAGAGAAGACATTTCATTTATCTGTTAAGCCTGAGCACTAAAACTATTTTTCAATCTTCTTCAAACAGCAAACATGCTTTAAAAGAGGGTAAAAAAAGTTTGGCATCATTGGCTTAAAATTCATGATCAACCTCTGGAAACTGTTAAAAGCATCGCTGACTTCATTGTGTTAAAACATGCCAACAAAAACATCCATGAGGACAAATCATTTTATAATGCAAATGGATGATTGGGTGATACTTTTTCGTAAATAAATCTAGCTCACTGTTATTGTTACTGTTAAATCTCTGTTGCGATATTTGTGCCTTGGCAGCTGTTTTTTTTTAGATTTCGTCCTACATTTAGACCTTAGTTTATTTTTTTATTATTTTGTTTTTTATTACTATTATTAGTTTCAAGATATACAATTTATCAACTAAGATGAAAAAAATACTTAATTCTACTGTTTATTTTTGATGGCAAAAAAACTTCATACATTCTCAAACCAGAGGAAATAAGTAGGTGAAGAAAGTCTCTAAGTTAAGAGGACGACTGTGGATGTGAATACAGCTCTAGGCATTTAAACCGAAGCTCATTTTATACGGTCTAAGTTTTGTCAGTTTTGATACAACTTTTTTTCGATGTTTTTCACGTTGAATTTTGGACACGAACATATGTGAATGACAATTTTCAGTTACGTGCGATGCGGTTTAGTGAGGAAGCTTATTAATATTGCAAAACTAGGGAGATAACTGTTGACCTGTGAAATGGTTATCGGACAACAATTAACATTGCATCAAAACTGACCAAAAAAAACCCCCGATAGTGGATAAAGCGTTTGTCATGAAGAAGACTTAACAATAGATACAATGGAAAAAGAACCATTGATGAGAATAAAAAGATTATCGACGGATTTTACTTCACTTTTCAAAATTCGATGACCTGCACTATTCTTGCTGAAAACTTCGTTTCGCAAAAATATCTCGCAATGATTCACTTCGAGGCCTGAATTTTATGGGTCTAAAATCCATGTAACAAACTAAACTTGATTTGATGCACTGTCGGTATTCGTTTATTTCCCATTGGTGACAGGAGATAAAGATAATGACGCGCACTCTTGAGCGTCCACGGTGATGAAATATTCATAGATGACCTTGTAATTCGCAATTTCTGCTCGACATACGAGTACAAAATATCGATTTTCACTTGCTTGAGAGTGACTACGGTATAATTTTCCCGAGACTTTCCTCGATGCATCAGATCCAAAACCCTTTGGGTGCACTACATGCATACATGATCAGGTTAACGGACATAATTTTGCGACTGGTGGCACATAAAAGTTGTATAATTTTACCCGATTTATGATTTGGGCTTTTATTCTCAGGGATTTTTTTTATAACGAAAAGAGAGAAATCAATAATGGGAAATACGTTCCGGAATTTTTGGGGGTTTTCTCGTTGATTATCTTGAATTTTGTAGATCGAAAAGAAAACTATTGTAGTATACTTCATTAAAGTCTATACGTCTCCAATTTTTTCCCGAAAGTTCCAACTTCAATGTGTTATACTCCTCCTTAAAAAAGCACCAAATTTCTATAAAAGCCAAGACTAAGATGTGATGATTGTAAGGCTGGAATTGCAAAAATCTTTTGGCTGAAAATAATTTATCCGATTGGCTTAAAAACAAAATTATGAAAACAATCTCTACGTTTGATTTCGTTCTTTTGAATTTTAAAATGTAAAGTTCACGCAGGAGAAATAATGCATTATACAATATATAATGAGTGATACTTAAAAATTTAGTCTTTGCAGTTACTTTTACAATCACGATCAGGTTCATTACCCTTAGGCGGTAG